TGTACGCTGTTGTAATGTTCAATGTTGACATCACGATACAATGTCACAGCAGGATCACTTACATAGCTGTATACCGGGTGTGGCCTATGGTTCAGCATGTCGGACTGTGGATCTCAGAGTCCATGGTTCGCGGTCCGATGCCACAACAAAACACAAACTCGTTCCCCACTTTAGGAGCAGTGGGTACGTTCTAAGAGTGACAGAGTAGCCCAAGAGTTGGCGGTGGGCACTGTTGACGAGCCGACTTCTCTCTAGTCTATTTTCATAATTAGAGACAAATATCCCTTGCATACCTTTATATGAATATCCGAAAGAAACAAATCCACACGTTCTAGCAAAATTAATAACACCCCAACCAGTTGTTGTAATAAAACATTACAGCTAATATAGTTGTTACTGGTTATTTTTAGCGCAAAGCTACACAACGGGATATTTACGCTCTATCCACCAGGAGGAATTGAACCATAGATTTTAGCATTGTAGATCTGGAACTCACTACTAAGCCAGTGGTAAGTCTGGGAGCTTATGGCGTTATTTAATCGGGTGTCAATACCCGTGGTGTACACAGCACAGATAGCCCATTGTGTAGTTTGTACTTAAATATCAATAAACAAACTCATCGGAAGTATACGGTTGTTGTAACAAATAAACAACAATAAAAACTTAAGATCGTAGTAAAGGTGAGATTGCATCACCCGTACTTTCAACACCATAAAGGAAATAAATAGACATTCAATCCATGTGATAGTTGTACACATTTTCAAATTACATTCTCGTAGTATTCGAGTTAAGGTGCTGTATAAAATGTCTTTAGTCACACACAATAAGACAAGTGACATGTGCTGACAGATGTGATAGTTGTACACATTTTCAAATTACATTCTCGTAGTATTCGAGTTAAGGTGCTGTATAAAATGTCTTTAGTCACACACAATAAGACAAGTGACATGTGCTGGCAGATGTGATAGTTGTACACATTTTCAAATTACATTCTCGTAGTATTCGAGTTAAGGTGCTGTATAAAATGTCTTTAGTCACACACAATAAGATAAGTAACATGTGCTGGCAGATGTGATAGTTGTACACATTTTCAAATTACGTTCTCGTAGTATTCGAGTTAAGGTGCTGTATAAAATGTCTTTAGTCACACACAATAAGATAAGTAACATGTGCTGGCAGATGTGATAGTTGTACACATTTTCAAATTATATTCTCGTAGTATTCGAGTTAAGGTGCTGTATAAAATGTCTTTAGTCACACACAATAAGACAAGTGACATGTGCTGGCAGAAAGCGGAGGAAACATTAGATTGGCGTTTCCTGTGGAAGAACAAATGATATTAGGCCTAGGGCTAGAGTCAAAACTGAAATATCGATAGAGCCTGAATAACTACGAGGACATGGTAAAAAAAAAACAAAAAAAAAACTCCAAATCATACGGAAGAAATAAGATGTTAGGTGTTCGAATAACCTACAAAAATGAAACCTAAACCATTTACTCAAGCCAATAGAGAATCTAGCACATTACCGTAGGGAGTAATTTTGGCATTGCTAGGGGGGTCTAAGGGCATGCTCCCCAGAAAATATTTGAAAAGTTAATCTTATAAGATTGAATCTTGAGGCATTTTAACTACAGCTCCCCTCCCCCCCCCCCCCCCGTAGCACAGCGGTACGTCTGCGGACTTACAACGCCAGAAACCGGATTTCGATACCCGTGGTGGACAGAGCACAAAGCTAAACAAAGGGCTATCTGTGCTGTGCTACCATGGTTTTTAACGTTATAATCCTCAGACTTACATATGCTACTGGAGGTGGGGGTAAGGGTGGCAGGAGATTCGCCGTGAACAAAATAAATAGGTGCTAAACATATCGACGTTTGCGCTAAGGCTCGCATCTGCGATAATCCAGTCTGTATTATCATATGCAAAATCGTTCCTATAGAATACAATTAACCTTCTTACTTTTTAGTTTTATAAATCTGAAAAAAAACTCAACGAATAATGCAGCTATAATTTTATTATTATTAAAATTAACATTCATTTAAAGAATTCTTCCATATCTATTAGGGAAACTCTTTCTGTGTTTATTCTACTTCGATAAACATATATATATATATATATATATATATTAAGGTTGAGTTTTAAAAAATCATTCAGTTCATAATGTTATCAGTGCTTATTTTCTAAGTAAAAGTAAAATAGCACTGTATCTATGACTTTTACATCAACATAAATGAAAAACGTCAAAGATGCTACTACTCATCGTTAGTACACCTGGGTATAGTACAGCGAGAAAAATCTATGATAGTAGCTCTATATATATACGCACAATATATGGGTATATACACCACTGGCTACACGGAAAAGCTATAAGATGTAATAACCTTCACATTATCAAGGACGAGCTTCCTACAATCTATTCCATTATCTTCTGACAAATGGGAGATTTAAGCATGATTGGCTGCGGCACTTTTACGCGCGCCTTGTATTCGTTTTATTTATGAGCTATGATATATATATATATAGTTATATATAAACTGTCAGACTGAGATGTGGGTATGCGCAACAAAAAAAACCTGCTAAAATTTTAAAATTTCTAATGCAGGACATCGATTTCTGACAAAAAAAATGTCGGTGTTTGATAAAGTAAAAATTACTTAACGTTTGATAATAAATCTAAATAAAGTTCGGGGGATTTTAATGTAAAAAAAAATAATTTGTTTAATTTTAGTATTCAGTTATATAAGAATTCTAAGCCTCATGGTGGACGTGGAGTTCAGTTAAGAAGAAAATGCCTAAGTTCTGCATAAAAACTCAATACTAAGAGAGGTTAGTAGATGGCGCTTCAATTAAGTCGATTTCAAATTCGAGTGCACTTCCGTATTGCAGTATTTTACCATAAGCACTTATGTTAAAACTTATGGTACAACCTTGCTGTTTTTGTTTGTTTTAAACGCAAAGCTGCACAATCGGCTATATGCACTTCACCCGCCATAGGAATTCAGCCTCGGATTTTTGCGATATAAGCCTTCAAATTACCGCTGAGCCACTGGGGATAGTCTGCTAAAAAACAACAACTAATATTTACCCAAATATATGTCCATAGGTATGCCGAAGACGACAAAATATCAGGTGTGAAATGTCAGTCATAACACCAATGATCAACTAAGAGTTGAACCACTAAACACAACAGTTAAGCAGAACCAGCAATTTAACATAATGTTTCCAAATCGGAAAATATTGGTGGTATTAAACAAAATTACACCACCAAAACATACCTCACAGTTTAATATTATCCAAGCACCAAATAGCAGACTATTCGGATATTACGAGTACAGAATACGTATATTCAACAAAATTATATAACAAAATTACACCACCAAAACATACCTCACAGTTTAATATTATCCAAGCACCAAATTGCAGACTATTCGGATATTACGAGTACAGAATACGTATATTCAACAAAATTATATAACAAAATTACACCACCAAAACATACCTCACAGTTTAATATTATCCAAGCACCAAATAGCAGACTATTCGGATATTACGAGTACGTATATGAGTTTCCTGTTATGCGAAACGGTAAATGGAGTAGTCCTAAATATGGCTGGATTCAGTTCCAGACTGGAGAATTTATATGCTTATGTAGTAAAAATATTATAAATTTATCATTAACCTCAACATCAACATTTTAAACTGTTTTGTGCCTATGATAAAGGATTGTTTCAAAGCTGCTTCAAATAAATGTGTGTATTTTTGAATTATCGCCATTTTATTCAAACGCGTGTCGCTGTAACGTTTTAATTTATTTTTGTATCTAATTAATAATCTATTATTATTACTGTCCATCCGCGAAAAAAACCGACAGTATGTTTGTTTGTTTCGGAAATTCGCGCAAAACTACACAAAATATATCGGCATTAGTTTGTTTCGGAAATTCGCGCAAAACAACACAAGATATGTCGGCATTAGTTTGTTTCGGAAATTCGCGCAAAACTACACAAGATATGTCGGCATTAGTTTGTTTCGGAAATTCGCGCAAAACTACACAAGATATATCGCCATTAGTTTGTTTCGGAAATTCGCGCAAAACTACACAAGATATATCGGCATTAGTTTGTTTCCGAAATTCGCGCAAAACTACACAAGATATATCGGCATTAGTTTGTTTCCGAAATTCGCGCAAAACTACATAAGATATATCGGCATTAGTTTGTTTCGGAAATTCGCGCAAAACTACACAAGATATATCGGCATTAATTTGTTTCGGAAATTCGCGCAAAACTACACAAGATATATCGGCATTAGTTTGTTTCGGAAATTCGCGCAAACTACACAATATATATCAGCATTAGCTAGCCCTAATTTTTAATTTTTAGCTGACAGATAGAGAAAAAGCAGCTAGTCAATCAGCACCCATCGCCAAATCTTATCTGACCGAATAGTGGGATTTGATCGTCGACCTTCTAGGGCACCCACGGCCATCTCCAAAATACGAGACGTGATCCAGGAAACCTCAGATTCATAGTTCGAGCACACTAGCCACTATGTCATGCCCGGGTCTTGTTTTTTAATTATTTTAAAGAAACTTAACGCATGGAAACATAAGACCAGGCAACTGTTAAGGGTTAGTAAAGCTTTCATTTCAAAATTAATAGCAACCGATAGTAGAAAATGAAAAACAGATTTGAACTCTCTCGTACCCGAGCCTCGTGCTGGATATACATACCTTAATTAAGCTTTTTTTTTTTTCGTTTTCAAAAACTGTATTAACTTAAAAGTAAAGATAGACAGTTATTGTTATATCTTCATGAGAAAAAAAAAGTCTTTGGAGTTTCAACATCAAAAGAAAAACGTTGTGTTTATATCAGTTTTTTTCATAAATGCAGAACAGGCATTTCCGTGATCACATGAAGCAGGTTGTGACAGTAGGATAAACATGTAACCTAGACATTCCAGTGATTTTTACATGATAAAAGTAACGACTATCACTCACCAACAGCGATAGCTACAACAAACCAAAGTATTTTCCGCATCTTTGACGGCTGAGAGGAAGTCATATCGCTGGTCGCCCTTGCTGCTCTGGTTTTCACTCGCGGGGCCTCCGAGTCTCTTGCAAACACGCGACATAGAGCGACGGCAGCTCAGCGTAATGCTTGTGGAACCATACCTCGCGCAGTCCATAGATCGATCTGAACCTTTCCCCTTTGTCGCATGTTTCTTCAGACAGCAGGTCACAACAGCATGACGTCACTTCGAGGTTGACCAACTGTAGGATAGTTATCTTCTTCTGATAACAAATTAGCGAGTGTTTACAGATAATTCGTAATCGGGAGAAAAAAACAAACTGAACGTTCATGTTCTTCACTACCTATCCCTCCCCCAGTAATTATGCGCTAACGCTAAGTATCAGGATTCGATACCTGGCACAGTATAGCTAACTCATTGTATAGCTTTGTGCCTAATAACAAATAAATAAAAATTCTTCTTCTATACTGTACAATCGCATTACGTCCTATTTTAGCCTTAAACATAACAGTTATTTCAATTTTACAAAAAGTTCTTCATTTTATGTGACGTATTCTTGCACAGCCCGAATTATCATTTTGTATTTCTAAACAGCGAGAACAGTTATAGTGGCCTCTTTATTTCAGTGATAAGTAAAAAGTATGATACTGAGTCGTTTCCAAAGCTCCCAGGTTTTAAACTCAAGATGATAGATCAGTTCTCTTACGGCACCAAAAACAAACATTTCATCTTGTTTGATGAGCAACGTTTCCTGTTCATACTGTTTTCTTTAATTTTCCGTTCCTAACCCTATTATTACAGCAGCAAAGTAACGCACTGTTTATGTCGTGGAGTGTTTTAATATTGTTATTAATGAAACTAAATTATCAGTTATTATTGTTCTTACATAATATGATAAATTTAAATGCCCTAATTGTTAGAGCATCTTTAATATTCCAATAAACGTTGTAATTATGCCGAAAAAATGACAGTTGCATAACCTTGCAATCTCACTAATTAGCGGTATAGACGTATTTGAAATAAGAAAAAACAGGTTACTTAGGTAACGGTCATTAATACTATTTTTTCAATTCTCTTTTAATGCTTCTTATCACTGAAGAACTTCGCAAAATATGGACAAAAATTCTGATATAAAATACACATATATATAAATGAACAGACAAATCACCGTATTTACCTTCTAAAATACACATGTATATAAATGAAGAGACGAATCACTGTATTTACCTTCTAAAATACATCATATATAAATGAAGAGACAAATCACTGTATTTACCTTCTAAAATACATGCATATAAAAATGGAGAGACAAATCACTGTATTCACCTTGTAAAACACACATATATATAAATGAAAAGACGAATCACTGTATTTACCTTCTAGAATACATCATATATATAAATGAACAGACAAATCACCGTATTTACCTTCTAAAATACACATATATATAAATGAAGAGACAAATCACTGTATTTACCTTCTAATATACACATATATATATAAATGAAGAGACAAATCACTGTATTTACCTTCTAGTATACATACATATAAAAATGAAGAGACAAATCCATGTATTTACCTACTAATATACATATATATATAAATGAAGAGACAAATCACTGTATTTACCTTCTAAAATACACATATATATAAATGAACAGACAAATCACCGTATTTACCT